TAATTTTATTTGGAAAACATCCCAAAAAGCTCTAGCATTTTTTTTTGTTTTTTTTTATATTCTCATTTAAAACAAGTTGGGAACATGGAGCTGTAAAAAAATAGCTTGTACAAATACAGTATGATGATGGCAGAAGTACAGTACCACTATTTCTTTAAAAGACTCATAACTATGCTGTATGTATTCATACCAGAGCAAAACTAGGTATAAAGAAACTCAATAAAGAGCATAAATTGGAGATGTTTGGGTGGTGTGTGTTGTTTGGTTTTTTTTAAATTGGCTTCCTATTTATGCAACAATAATTAAATTAAGACCTGTAACTTAATTTGGCATTATTTTTTCTGTCTTTAGAAGAATGAGAGGTATGTCAGAAATTGCATACGCCCATGAAGAGGAAAGTTTTTCTCACTCTCAAATTGTAATAATCGGATTTGGAAAATTAAGTTAAAAAATTGAAGAAAAAATGTTATTTTAAAAGTGCACCCCAGTACAGATGCAAAATTCCTCATAGGATTCTGAAAAGCAGCGTGTAGGTGTATAAACACGTGTGCTTATCAATACATGTACATACACACACATTCTGTTGCTTGAGAGCAACCGTTAAAATGACAGAGCTCCAAAGTCCCAAGATTGTGCTGGCATCACTGATGATGCCGATCCACAAACAAGTATGTCTTAGCAACCTACATGCCAAAAGTTGCCGTTGATGACCCAAGGAAAATACTAGTTTTATCATCATTCAACTACAAAGTTCTGGGAGTTGTAGCTGGCAATTTAGTGCCAGTCTACCGTGCTGCTTGTCAAAGACAGAGAGACAGACAGAAGCTCATAGAAGGGCGTGAATTAAAGGAAAGACCCTAAAGTCCAACATGTGGGAAGTGATGCTCCTAAAGAAGTTCGCAATAGCTTTGATGGTGAACTTCTTTAAGCTGTTTTGACACTATTTAATGTTTTAAACTGACCCAGAAGTCGGGACCAGAGCTCAGCGCTCTGGCCCTTAGATCTTGCGGGCTTTATGAACCTTCCATTCTGCAGCGAGGCACAACTTCAGCAAGAAGCAGGGCAAGTGCCATCACCTCCTCAGCCCAGCTTAATCACCAGCCTCATTTGAGTACCAGGACAGATAATCAGGATTTTCACACCAAGGCCGAAGATGCATTGGCCCGTATGGGACACCCTGCAAGCACAGATACCGGATCAGGCTTTTCAGGGAACTGAGCAGACGCCTAATCCCCGAATTGAAGGAAGTGAGTGCACCCTCAGTAAGTTTGCAGACAACACCAAGTTGGGCGGCAGTGTTGATCTGCTCGAGGGTAGGAAGGCTCTGCAGAGGGACCTGGACAGGCTGGATCGATGTGACCAGGCCAACTGTATGAGATTCAACAGGGCCAAGTGCCGGGTCTTGCACTTTGGCCACAACAACCCCATGCAGCGCTACAGGCTTGGGGAAGAGTGGCTGGAAAGCATTTAAAAAACGGGTAGATGAGGCGCTTAGGGACATGGTTTAGTGGGCATGGTGGTGTTGGGTTGACGGTTGGACTCGATCTTGGAGGTCTCTTCCAACCTTAATGATTCTATGATTCTATGATTCTAATCTGTGGATTTAAGGATGAGAAAAGTGTTAAACTGAGCAAGACCTGGCAAGAAGGAAGCAGTTTTACACCTATGCAGAAGCAGAAATCTAGGCACACAGGAGACTAAATTTTTTACCTTTGAAATTACCTAGGACATCTGGCAAAGGTTTTGTGAATTGTACCCTGGTATTTATATGTCCCAATTCTAACCAAGTCCTATTCTAGGCCAAGCAAAGGCTTTGCAAGTTGCACTTGTGCAGGCAGATAACCAGATTTCACTGAGTCTTTTTGAGGACCTACGCTTAAGTCTGCTGTGGCAAGGGTAAAGAATGAAATTTCAGAGAAACCTCCCACTAACTAAGAGCAAAAACCAGGCAGATGAGCAAACTGTGCTTCATTAAATAAACTGGGAGTCACCCACAGCAATGCCAAATGAATGCACTCAGTCTCACCTGACTTCTGAAGTTACAGGGGATACCTGGGCCTAGTTATCACGCAAGTAGAAAACTACCTGGGAATTCCCGAGCTAAGAATACAGATAAACACCTTCTGAACATTGAAGCACACACACACAAAAATGAGTTTGCTTGTTGCTGGTGTAATGGATGGACAGAAATTGCACCAGAATAAATCAACCCCTATGCAGTTTTCTTACACAAAAAGCTTCTGCATCCGACAAGTAAAGAAAATAGTCTCAAGAGGCTAAATATTTCTGAGGTTAAATTAACAGGCTATGCTATTAAAAAAAGTAGTATTCTGTTCTTTGTAGTCGAATTGAGCACCAAACCAGGTGCTGTTCCGCATGGCAGTCTCCAAAGACATTCCTTAGCCTGCAATGTTAATGATCAGCGACAACAAATTGAGCAGTATTTACATGATTTGCTTGACTACATCTTTCCTTTCACTGTTCTATCTTCATCCTTCCTAACATCATTTAGTAGGTAAAGTAAGCTTTGCCAGTGAACAGACAAGCAAAATTAGTTGCTTCCATGGATACATACTTATACTATTGTATGTGTGATGTTATGGCACCAGACATACAATAATGATGCTTTCACAACCGCTATTCATTAGCTTCACTCATTTTACAGCATTTTCCAGAGATACGACTGGCCAAAGTTAATTAGTTGAATTTTTTAATTTGTTAATTTGTCAAATTTGTTAATCGGTCAGAAGTCTGCTCTGAAAAGAGGGAGAAAGCAGAACTAGAACTTGGTTTTATTTCTTTTTATTAAGAAGGACAATCTCTCCCATAACTAAAAGCCAGAAAAAAGTGTTTCATCCAAAATAATCAGATATAAATAATTAGATCAGGAAGAAGATTATCAACAACACAATCGCACAAAAATAAAACTCTACTTCCTACAAAGACATTGTAAATTAATTTTTAAGAACAGAACAAGTAGCCACCTTTAATGCATGTTTCAACTGATACTTTAGAATAGCTCTTTATACCTCATTTTACTCGGGAAAAAAAAAGAAGGCAATCATATGAAAACAACAGCTAGTCAGTTCAAAATCATTACAGAGAATGTTTTTGCTACCTACCATACACATCAATTTTGCTTTTGAACAATGACTCAGATCACTTACCAGACTCCACTTGAGAAAACGAGGAACAAGCCCACCATCTCACTTCTCTCCTCCCAAAATGAAAACCTTAATGATTTTTTTTTTTGCTAATACATACTGGTATACCAGTGAAAGGAGTAACTAACCTTAAATGTGCATTAATTGGTGGCTACTCCTTTAACAAAAACCAGTTAGGGTTGCTGCATAGGAATAAAGCCCATTATCTTTAAATTAAAGTTTCTTGTATTAGAGCATTAGTTAAATGTCACAAGTGTAGTACTCCTATAGCATATGCCCGTTCCCAGGCAGGTTTTTCCCTGCAGCCTTTTTTGCTTTATCCAGTCAAGTTGTGTCATATGTCCTGCCACTCTAACTCTCAAGAAGTCTCTAAATTGCCTAAAGTTAGTATTTTCTTTTGGGGTCAACTTAAACTTTTTTCATCTATCTTTAATGAAAGTAAGGGAATTGTGACAAAGTGGGGGGAACCTGTTAAAAAAAAAAATATTCATATTCTTTCTCCCTTTCAAGGAAAAATCCATATAATCTGGACATCCACCACTGGATGAACAGACAAATGCACGTTCTGGTGGATAATATGAGGTTGGATGCTTTAATTATTTAACTGCTCTTAGCCACTTTCCTCTGGCTAAATAACCTAGGAAATGGGGTATCTAAATTTTGTATCTGTAGTACTTCAGCGAGTTGTTTGTTGTACCTCAAATGATACGAGTTTGAATGGATACTTGAAAGTTTTTTCAGTCTTGCAATGAAGCCACTAGACTGTCTCATCTCATCATCATCCCCTTAGAGGAGTTAATTCATCTGCAGCCAACTTACCGGTAGGAATTTCCAGCAGTCAAGTGCCTCAAATAGCATCTACTCTCAGCTGTCAATTAAAATGTGTTCTCTTTAGTCAGAGATCCATGGCTTCAGTATTCCCCGAAGCCAGCGCTAGGTTGCTAGGGTGCTACATAAGGAGGTGTGTATGATACTTCGGGAAATGGAACTAATGCAGAGATGTGAGGATTACTGGAGAACTAACCCAGTAAGTCCACCCAGAGCCATAAGCAAAGCGACTATCATCAGGGTTACAGTCCTGTTTGCTCGCTGCTGTATCAGTCCTACACCAGGCTGACATGACTGGACTGACCTAGACAACCGCAGCCTGTAAAATCCATCTGAACTCCATGCCACATGGACCTACCTTCTTCAGTTCCACTGCCATGGAAAACCCTGCACCACCCCAACTGCTACAGAGTAAACGTACTCTGTGACTTGAAGTAAAAGCATGTCCAAGTAATTATTTGACAATTTCAGAGACCTTTCAATATGCAAAAGAACTAACCAAAACCAAGCCTCTTCCTTTGTATCTCCAAGCCCCATAGATACAGCGAATGGAAACTGCAGTCTGTAGTCCTGTCAGTCATTTTGTTCTGTGTTGCACCTCTCAAACTGCACTCATGAATAAACCCTACTATTTCACAAATGAACAGATTCAAGCGTAAGGCGATGCTCAAAACTTGCCGTACGGGGTCTGCCATACTTCCTGTGACTCAATACATTGTCACAGATTTTCTGGCAATGGTCAAGCCTTCATCAACGAAGGAAAAAACCCTACATTTAAGACTATTTTTTAAATTTTAAAAAGCTCCAAAAGAGTTTAATGAACGAAGCAACTACTTCTGAAGAAAGACACAGACAGTAGGAGAACATTTTCAAAGATTGTAATGGATCATAACTCAGTAAGAAGACACTAAAATTGATACATAGAATCATAGAATATCTCGAGTTGGAAGGGACCCATAAGGATCATGGAGTCCAACTCCCTGCTCCTCGGAGCATAACTTTTACATAACTGTAAAAGATTTCAGTTTGTTTTTAAATAATCTTAAACATTTAATTATGACAATAAATAGGAACAATCAATGCGGTGTTAAGAAACTGTGCAGAGCAAGTAGCTATGAAAGCTGTTGTACAACGTATCTGCTGAATCTCTTATGACCCAAGGCTTCGGATTTCAGTTTTTGACAGTGGATTCCAACAAGTCTTTTGCTTCATTTATTTTTGTTGCTAAGTAAGGTGATCCACCTGAGAAGAAAAAGGGGAAAGGAATACCATTTACACATCAGTATTAAACACCAAACTACTTCACTTGCAGCATCCCCTTGTTACTCACTTTTATTAGCTCCTCCTTCCTAAATAGATCCTTTTCATACAACTGCTTAAAAAATGACATTGATATGAAGCAAACTAATTGATAAGGAAACATGAGAAACGTAATCAAAACTGAAGTCACTGAAGAATAACACTGAACAATTTGTCTCAGAGAGAAGACTGAAATCTGAAATCACTTTACATCGGTGTGATTTAGACTTGCAGTGCAATGTTGCTACAAACGTATGCAAGGTCAGCTGCCTTGAACATTCATCCAAAGCTAATAGCTAGTATTTCCACCCACCCCAAAAACTAAGAGGTAAAGGTTTATAAATAATTTTGACAAAGAATCATTAAGTGCGTGCACATGCGCACACACACACCAAGCCTCTCCTGTGCTAGATGCCCAGAATTACCAGCCAGAAACCATCACATTAAAGCTATTTAAACATGGTACGCCTTCTAACTTCTAGTCCTGAACACTGTCATTGCTTTACGCTCCATCTAACAATCTGATTACAGTTCAGCAGTCTTTTTGTGTTTGTTTTTTTTACTCTCCCCTTGAGTGCCAACCATCTGCCTACAGTCACCAAAAACAACATTACAAGGTCTATATCAGTCACTTATCACCTACTATAATGCACCTATATTTTTTACATGAAAATATGATTCCAGCAGTACTGTGCACTGAATAGCCTTTTCCAAGGCATCTGTTCAATCATAATTTTTCATTCATCATTTCATTCATTCTATTCAATTCATCAGAAAAGATAACGATAGAAGAAACACACAGAACTAGTTGTAGACGCATGTGGCAATGCTTGCTTAAAGACTTCTTTAGGACATTCCTTCAGGAATCCAAATCATTATAAAGTCATTTCAGGGTGTAATAAAACAACTGGAAAAAGTAATGGCGTTCTCTTGTTCATGTTTTGGTTTTGTTTGAATGGAGCCTTAATAGGTAAGACACACCGGAGGAAGTGAGGCAGGGCAGGGGAAGGGTAGAGAACTGGCTACTGGAAAATGAATTTTTTTTTTTCTTTTTTTAAACCAACTGGCTTTTTAGACAGGAATAGGATTTACTATATTGAGAATTGCTTCTTTCAAAGAGTAAACAAGAGGATCAAACAAACAGTAAAGACTAAAAACTGCAATAAACAATGTATCTCAAGTAATTTTTAAATGTGTGTTGATTTTCTACATGTCTAGAGTGCAGGATCTTAAAGTAAATTCATATCTTTATGAAGTGTTTTCACTACATCTACATCCTTAAGTGCCAATTTTGTAGCCCTCCAATGAGAGAAAATTCAATCTCATGATTGCCTAAGTGTTTGTTTATAATTAGGGCAAGTCCAAAAGGCTTCTCTCTTCCTCTTTTTCTGTGAGCAAATATTCTTTCATAAAATTAGTAACTGATAAATTAACATACAACGTATCAATATAAAAACACTTTAAACTGAACTATGTAAAGGTTAATAAGCAACCATTTTAGTAACGCTCACTGGGGATGTTATTATGCAAACTTCTACGTATTTCTTATTTATTTATTTCTAATAATTCTCTCCGACATTTGGGATCTCAGATAACATATGTAACTTTTAAAACCTGTAATTATTGCCCTTTCTTCTATCAACTCCATCTGGTGAAGTACTATTTTAAAATAGCACTCTAATGTTGAGTATTGTTTTTAAAAGCACACCTGTGCTACCCACAACCAGAAGAAATACACATAAGCAAACAAGTCTCTCTGTGATGCCATGTGTTCAAGATTACTCCAGGCCCTAGCTCTGCAGCCGAAATTACACAAGATTTTTTTCTACGGCCATGCCAGAAGAGCTGCAGGGGCAGCACAGAGGCACAAATCCCTTCAACTGGTGTTCCTACTGAGAAAATGCTCCATCTTCATAGCACACAGGAGGGCTCACTACATCCATCCAAACCTACACTGTGCCCAGCTGCAGGTGCATTACAGCTGTAAGAGTGGGTCATTAAAATGTACGATCTTCGTAAAGGGAACTGCCTCTTTAGGTCTACTCAACACCCACATGGAGATTCACGGTTCTGGCTCACGTCTCTAAGTACTGCTACAATAAACTCAGAAGTTCATTATCAAAAAATTTTGACCTAATAGGTAGTCTAGTGGTTAAGAGGCCTCTGACCATCGTAATATATTAGAAATGCAGAAGATAATTTCTTTTCTATGTCTGTGCAGTTTATACATTATAAAAAGGGTAAAAAATGAAAGTGTGAAATCAAGTAAGCAAGACAACTTTAGAATTAAAGTGAGGGGTGAAGACAGCAAAGCAAAGCATTGACTAAACACTTCCCATGGCCAGTGGTCACAGGTTTTTTTTCATTTTCTTAAAATGGGGTGCTGGCAGGGAGCCCTGTAATTCTGTCAAAAAGATATAAAAACCCTCCGATCTCCCCTTTTGACTTCTGAAATACAGTGCAACTCTTCACCATCTGTTATTTTAAAGTAGAAACAGCAATGAACATATGGGTTTTCTTTCTCAACCAGCTGTAGTGTAGTTAAAGTTATAATAATAGCCTTTCTGTATGATAAATTTACATTAAAAACCTGGCCAGTAAAGCAACAGTGCTCAGCTTTACATTTTTTCCAAGTGAATTCCAGGAAGTCTGAAATTCATCAATGATGTATTTAGTGACTGCAAAACACTTCCGCACAGAAAGTTACTTCCACACACGTGACTGGTCCATCTCAGTTCAAAACACGTCAGTTTAATGTAAAAATGTTATAGCTATTTTTTTCTTATTTTTGAGCAAGTTTCTTTAAAGTGTGGAAGACTGGTCCCTGAGCCCATAGTTTTAACTTGAAGCAGCACAAGTCTAGAAAACAACGTTAAAGAAAGATGGCTAAAACTGCGGTTCATAAAGCCTGGTTTATCTGAGAGAAGACACACAGAAGCTCAAGTCTATAAATAAACAACATACATTTGCACTCAGTGTGGTTATTTACACAATCAGTAAAGTGAAAGGATCTCGTTTAAGTCTTGTCCCTTCCAGCTCTGGTTAAGAAAACTAATAATTATTTACCTTTATCAGGATGATTCAAAATCATGATTCTTCTATGGGCTGTTCTGATTTTGGCCTTGCCAGCAGATGGACTGCAAAAATAAATTGAAGTGTTTACCATAAATGCCACTGCGCTTAGGCTACAAATTAACAGTTTATAACGGCTTCAAAAATAATTAAAACTTGAGATTTTCACCATCTTGTGGACAAAACGTAAAACTGCATCTCCGAGGAAGTAACAGTAACAAAGGCATGTAAGACACCGAGAACAACATTTTTAAAAAGCCTGTGTATTTGACACATACAAATATCTTTCAGTTGTTTTTTTTCTTTAAAACACAATACATCCACTCATTTAAAATACAATTTTGGGGGAAAAAAAAAAAGGAAAAAAAATGGCAGCTCTAGGGTGTATCTAGCTGGTTATTCTTATCATTAAATGCAGAAAACACATTTTTTCCTCCTAGAAAATAAGTATTTACATGACCATTGACAAAACAAGAAATATTTAATATTATCCCATTTTGTTCTACTGTAAATATTTTTAGAGCTACTATAAATAATTATTCTTTCTGCTAGGGCCTGAAAAAAAACCTGTCTTTGTTATTTTTGCAAAGCTGTTCAGTGTGTTACATTCAAGGACATGCTGATTTACAAGTGCTACGTAACGTTGTCTCCTTCAATGACAGATACATAAAATATGTACTTGGCCTAAATTAAATATGTATCTTACCAGACAAATAACCACTTATGGATGGAGCATGCCAACACAGTAAGGCTATCATATGCAATAGGACAGTTTGAATGGTTTAGTTTTTCATAATTTGTTAGCATGCAGAAATGAAGCAGTGTTTTCCACTTCAGGTGACTTCTTAATTAGTGATAATTCAATTAATTAATCTTTTTGTAGATACAGTTTGAATGCAACGTATCAGTCTAACTACATTCCTGAGGTAAACAACCTCTAATTGTTATTCTGTCACAAGGAAATTAGGGTATGTTGCAAAAATAGTTCATAGAACTGCATAAGGAAAGAATACTTCAGTGGAACAGAAAGTAACCCAGAAAGTAAGAATTAAGCAGAGGGTGAAAGGCCTTGAACTATATAAATATAAAAATGAAATTATTTGTTATCAGACAGCTAAAAATAACAATTATATATATTTTTTGATTTGTAAAGCCGTTGTTTAACAATAAAAGGAAAGTTGATATACCACATTTAGAAACTCAGATGGCCAAAGCGTAACTGTGGAAAAGTTGCATATTATGGAAAATCAGGCAGTTCTGCTCTAAGAAGTAACTCTGAAAACTGTGTTTTACATCAAATTTGCTTAGTTTATAAGACATTGCTTATCTCACAGTCAGACTGGTCTCTAAAGATTCTTAATCACTATCAAAAAACCCTTTAATGTCAAAATCACATTTTCGTTGAACTGGTACAGCCTCACAACCTGAGCCACACCAACGTCATGCTGCCTTCTAACAACACCAACTGGCTGAGAAGTCTATCACCTTGGTGGGAACAGTCGATACACCGGAGGGCAGAACTGACATTCAGGGGGACCTGGAGAGGCTGCAGGAATGGGCTGACAGGAAGCCTTCACGGAATTCAAGAAGGACAGAGGCAGAGCCCGGCGCCTGGGAAGGAAGAGCCCCTCGCAGCGCGACAGGCTGGGGAATGCCGGGCTGGGGAGTGGCTCTGCTGAAAGGGACCCGGGGCACAGCAAGAACAAGAGCCAGCAGCGTGCCCTGGCAGCAGAGGACAACAGCCTCACGGGCTGTATGAACGGGAGCATGGTCGCTAGGCCGACACAAGCAGCTGTTCCCCTCTACTCGGCCAACCACATCTAGTCGCTGCATCCAGTTTTGGGACCTCTGTACAGGAAAGACATTGGCCAACCACCACAGGTCCAACAAAGGCCACCAGGAAGGCCGGGGGCTGGAGCACTCACCCTTTGAGGAGAGGCTGAGGGAGCGGGGCTCGTTCAGCCTGGAGAAGAGAGGGCTGCTAGGGGACCTCACAGGAGCCTCCCAGCATCTACAGGGAGGTCATAAGGAATACGGGTCCAGGCTCTCCACAGTCATGCATGGTGGGAGGGTGAGGGAAAATGGGCACAAATTGTAAAGGGAGGTGCGGCCTGGACATAACACTTTTTCACCCCAGAGACGGTCCATCAGTGACACAGGTTGCCCAGAGAGGTTGTGCATTCTCCACCCTTGGGAGTCTTTCAAGACCCACTGGATAAAGTCCTGAGCAACCTGCTCTGACCCCACAGGTGGTCCTGCTTTGAGCAGCAGGTACAACTGAGCTCTTGAGGTCCCTCCCAACTTGAGTGGTATTATGATCATATGATATACCTGTGCAGTAAGCTGTGTTTAAAAATAAATTAAAATAAATTTAAAAAAAAAAACAAAACAAACCCACAATGATTAAACCTTAAATACGTTTGTGTTTGTACACTTATACAGTGTACTACATGTTTTTTTAATGTAATTGCCAAATTTCTTTTATTATGTCATTTATGTTTTACAAATAATGATTTAAACATTTTTTACTAATGCAGATATATATTTTGTACATTAACAAACAATTACATATTTCCTATGGAAAGAAAAAGAATGCATCTTTTCATAGAGGAAATGGTACAACACAAAGTTTTATCCATTTTTATCTAGAATTCTAACTTATGATTTTCAGACATGTTTTCTAACTTCAGAAGTTCAGCGTTAAGGATTTGATAGTTGTAAAGCATTATACTTAGGACAGCTACACTAGCACCTATTTTTTCTAATGTTTGGAAAACACTCCTAACATTTTCACCTCCCATGTCATCTCAGACATTCCCCCATCTCTCCCATTAGCAGTTCCTTCTACAGAGTACATAGTTGTGAATATTATTGCTATGTTTATACTGAATTTCAGTAATCGGTGCTGCTTCATAACAACTAATGCAAGAACACTAAAACTTAAAATCAGTCAATATTTCCAATACAGTACTTTGTATCTTGGGATATCTTTTACATAGTTTAAATACAAATAATGCACATGCATGTTTCTTACAAGATCTGCAATCTTACAAGACGGTTATTAGAGAATAACATTTGGAATGTGTAATGGGCCAATATATTTGAAATTTAAAAACTATCATTAAATGCTCACGTTTATCGTGGCTGGTATTTATTATTTATACTGCCCATGCATACTCAGCACTTGAAATAATGAAGAAAGTCTTTGCCTCAAAATTTAATATGACTTGGAAGTGACGACACAGAGGACAAGTGTTACAATAATAAGATCAAGGCCTAGAGAGTTTGTCTAGTTTGGGCATTTGTGCATACCCTGGCATATTCCGTAACACTTTAAAACTCACTTGCCTTTTTTTTCTGGTATATAAAATATATGTAAATACTATGTAATAATACATATTATACTGTATATAAAATACAGTAAGCAGTGAGTTAAAACTGGTCTAGAAAGTGTGTTTAAACCACGTGAGTTTCCTATGAAGATGTTAGCCGTGCTTCTACACAATTAAAGACTCAATCCTTTAAACATTGAGAACAACTTTCCTCAGATCTGATTAAGTCTTGATATTTGCAAGACTCAGTCCAAACACAACAAGCAGTGTCAGTGCAGACTCAAGCTATTAAAATTAAAAAATGAAAGGGCACTGATTTCAGATGTAATGAAACTTCAGACATGTACATGAGCAGTGTTCAGGCTAGCCATTGCCACTGTAAATACACTTTAATAAGCTGCCATGTGCTACTCTGGAGTATCACTGAATTTGCCCTTATAAAGTGAAAATGTTAATACATTATCAAATTTAAAGGCCAAAGGAAATATTTGTGAAGAGCATTCTGAAGAGCATTCCCATAAATCTCTTCTTCAACATGCAAGCATGAAATATTTCAAATAAATGTAATGTTTTATTTCACAATTTCTTAAAATGAATGCTAAATCTGCATAATTTCCATTATGTTAGAAGCAAACACAAATAGCGCACTGAACAGGATTTTAAGTCCCAGTTTTCACCATCTGAAATAATTTCTTCTGGGGATAATTAAAACCATCCTCCTTATTTTTTTTTTTTTTTAACCTTAAAATTCAAACTGATCTAAACCATAAATAAGAAATCTACTACCTAAGGTCAGATCTGCTCCTCTCAACTGTAAAGCCCTCAAACTCACCGCCTGCTTTACAGAAAACACTAAGGCGTGTGCTACCATTGGCCATCCAAATGTTTCTGAAAAAATCCACTGAAAAATCGATTGAACACTCAACCTGGAAATTATTTCCCATACCTACTCTATATGACAAGTCTCTCCAAGTATTTTTGTTTGGAATATGCCGCAACTTTTTAAATCCAAACAAATCAGAGTGGAGAAAGAAAAAAAATAATATTACTGACTTATGAAAAAAATTAGAAAAATTGATTTGTTTTGTTTATTAATATAATCTACAATATTACTTATCTCAAGGTTTTTTTTTGAGACCAGGCCATGTGATCGCACTAATTAGCACAGTATGTGCTATTCTGATTCTTTCTAGAGCACTAATGCTCCACTGCTATACGTTACCATGCCTTCAAGCCAAAACGCAAGCCGCATGTTTTATTCGCATTTTATTGGTTGCTTTTGAGCTTAAGCAGAATATTAGAATAGTTTATAAGCCATTAGAAGTCTTTTAAAAACAAGTTACGATTTTGGCAAGAGTATTCTACGTTCTTGCAACATGCATTTTCTTCATTCAGTAGTTACCAAACAAAAACATATTAATGCAACACACCTACCTTACACCTAGAATAAGACTAGCTTCTCGCCTACTCATTTTCTGTTCAAATCCTCCTTTATAGTATGATGAAAGACTCTAAAACGAAGAAAGGGAAAACAAGCAATAATTAGTTTCATGTACAAGGTGCCAGGACCTAAATCGTATTTATATGACCTCATTCAGAGCATTACATTCATCTATAATTTATTTCAAAGGCATGGAATGACTACAAACCAGATAATATGAAAGGACTTCTCCTGAGTGTTAACACATACAAAAAACAACTTAAAATTAACTGTTTGTGTTTTTACAATCTTCTACTGCTAATAAGAGATATTAATAGCTACAACCATTAAAATCCTGCCTTCAGGCAAAAGAGTCCAGAATCAGAGTACATACTAGCATAGAGTGGTACAGTGTGTGTGTTGGGGAGGGCAGGGGAGGGAAAGGGGGAAACTTGTTTAAAACAGCTTTGGTAACACCGCAATGGAAAGTGGCAGAAGTCACAATACTTTGGCATCCAAGGAATTATGGACAATCACTTTGAAGTCCAGATATTTCTACAAAGAAAGCAGGTAAAAACAACAGTAAAAGGATAAGAACAGATAAATATTGACTCTTCATCAGTATATTGTATGTTTTTTCACATGAAGGAATGTTACTTCAAAAAAACATACCGAGAGTTCTTTGAAGGAACCCTGAAAAATAAACAAAGAAAACAAAAAAAAGGCTTAAGCCACAACCTCTATTTCAGGAAATCACTGAAATGGAGAACACTGGAAAGCAGCAGAGTATATGGGGAAATCCTAGCCAATTTTGCCTTTACATCCTTCCCTAGACACTGATGACGATTAGATACAGGATCTGGGGTTAGTTTTTTCAAACTCATTGGCATGTAAGACTTTAGCAACTGTTTTAAGAAGGGGAGAAAAAACACGAGCGGAAAAAGAACATTAAAAAGAAGGAGATGGAGATGAAAGTAAATCATTACAACAATTGTCATAAGGAATGGGTTGAAAGTATATTTGTCAACCATAAATATATTTTAAACTAAAAAAAAAAAAAGAAAAGAGTTACTGAACTACCACTGATGGTTAGCAGTGATCTCCTCAATGTAAATGTTTCTATAAGAAGAATTAGGGATGAGCCCGTTGCTACATAAATAATAGTCTAAGCTGCGCAAGTCCCAGAGGCAGCAGGTGTAGCTCCAAGACAGCCTGCCTTTGGGAACTGGCACACAGAAATCACTCAGCAAGACTGAAGTTTCTTCCTCAATGCAAAACCTATCAGCTGGGGAAAAATAAGCTTCTTCTGTTGCTATCAAAGGGAAGCCTGGCCTCAGACCTGAGATTATTTTTAAGTGTTCCTTTTACCCCCAAGTAAAAATGTGCCTGGCCCTTAATAAACACTTTTCTCACTAAACATATCCATTCATACTCAGTGAGAATTTTGCCTTACATTTACACAAACTCTCTCTCATGTAATTTCAAAAGCATTAAAGCATTTAAAGGTCTCTGTCTATGATACCTAAGCCAAACCTTTAATTAATTAAGCTTAGGAGTGACATTCACCCAAAAGCACGGTTCAGAAATACTTCACCTATTGCTACCACGAAGTCACACACAGCCACAGAAAAGACTTTTTGGTGTGCTGCTGTGATCCGAAACTAATTTTATCTTCCTTCTTCCCATCCCAAACCATACAGAAAATAACCACTACCGTAACACTACAGGTATCAAAGCTGAAGCAACTGTGGACGTGTCATGCCTACAACAAAAATCTGTTGAGGCTGCTGCTATAGCTACAGGGTAGCACTAAACAAGTCTGTAATAGTGCACACCGACATTACAGGCTAGAGCACGTAACACTAAGGGAACACACAGGGCTTCTCCAGTCCTCCAAGAGGAAACGATGCTAATGATTTAGTGGCCACCAGATAACACCCTTGAGGAGGCAGAACTGCACAAAAATTTGCAGCGATGCCCAACAATTACTACAGCCAGGAAAGAAAAGCACACTTTAATGTCCTCTGAAAGATTTTCCAGAACTTCTCCCAAAGCAGCTTAGGTGCAGATGGATTTCTGAAAAGGTTAATTCTTCTCTGCCCTTCAACTCTGGCATACAACTCTAGTACAGGAGGACACTGGTTCACTATTCATGTAGAGAAGAGCAATATTTGAATTATCTCTAACAGCTCATCTCTGTTCTTGGTAGATTTCATCTAAAATACTATTTGAAATAAGAGAATAGAGAGGGATGGCTATAGGCTTAAATTCAGAAATACTTTTTCATGTTTTTAAAGCCTACTTCCTTGACACTGTTCTAACCTTGGGAAGCCCTGATTTGCTTCCCTTCCAAAAGGAATGAAAAAAGAAATTCTGTTGTCTGTGGCCTTTGGCACATGAGCAAAAACAGTTTTTTGAATTGGTCATCAAGAAAAAACATTTCCTTCTCAGAAGTGAAGCACGTAGCAAGAATAATCAATTCTTAAATTAAGATCTTGATCCTAAACAGAATTTAAAGCAAAAGGAAATTAGACATAAAAGCCATTTTTCCCATTGGTTAGAATAAGGGGAAGAAACATTGAGTCTTCATTTTAGCAAACATCTTGGCAAATTTCTAGTTCCCTAATGAAATAACTTTTTCACGTTATTCAAATTAAAGCATCTTTTTCTCCTAGTTGTAAATTCTAAGTCATGGCTGGAATGAAATGAAACAATACTCGAGATAATTTTCTGTTATGAGAACTCCTCGACGAGCGGGCAGTTCTAGACACTTATTTATTAACCCCAGCTACTGCAAACAAATTCTCTACTGGAAAAACTATCGAAAGGAGCTCTCCATTTCTTCGTACTATTTGGGGTGAGGGGAGGGGCCATCATTTAATTTACTTCATTTCCTTGCATGTTGTTGCTGTTTAGCAACTTATGGAAGTAAATTCTGCTTCCTAACAAACGCTATTAATAGGTTGGGGGCGGGGGGGAACAGAAAATGGCTGGATGCACTCTGCAAATGTCTATTCACTCTTGCAAATTTTCACAAAAGCAGTCAGCTAAGAAAATCCAATCCATTTGGACCGTTACATCTTCAAGATAACTTGTCCTGGCATAGCACAGGGAAAGCATAATCACTGTTTCCATGCCAGGTAAGAGATTCAAAACTCCGTAACTGAAACCATCCATCATATTACATGAAGCAGTGAATTTTTCTGAAAACTCTATGTGTTGTTCCACCACCAGTACAGTCCTCCATTGAAAAGGTAACAAACACTGGGAAAAAAAAAAACCCAAACCTACAATAACAAACTATTTAGAAGCTGTGTTATAATACAACCTACAATTTGCTAAGATCAACTTTAACTTCCTTAACTTCAGTTAGAAAAAAATTTATAAAATGGACTGCAAATTGCATTATTCTCTGGAAACTTTATTTTCAATGAAGGACAAGAGAGATGGTTGCTACCCTTACCTCTCAATTCAGAACTCTACGAGTCTGAGCAGAATCAGATCCAATAAGGTAAACACAGTGAAAAAATCTCTAATGAAGTGGTATAGAAGACACCCTTTTCTTCTGGAACACAGAATTCTCAGGATTGTGGAATTTGAGTATTTTGACAGTTCATTTTGCCTAGAATTGCTGTTTCCATCTTCAATATCGTCTATCTATCTTTCAACCTTCAATGTCATTGATTCAACAAAGAAAGGTAATGAATGCTATTGAAATACTTCCTTTTTTTTTTTCATTTCACATTTTAAGGACATATTAACATTATAATTAACAGCATTAAGGCCTGTCTGAGGAAGAAAAGCCAAATGACTACTTAGTGCTATGCACCTTCTACTGGCAACAGATTCTTGTCACTACACACAGAAACAAAATAGTGTCACTGGCATTTGCGACACCAGTAACAAAACTAGGCTCAAACTAAAAAAGCGTTTCTCTGAAAATGAGCATTATGACTTGTCATAGAGGGGAAATGACAATGTTTCCTCCTATGTCTTTCTCCACTGAAAAAAAGATGGTAGAAAACTTCAGGACTAAATTACAGCAGCATTTATGCTTCATATTTAAGAATATATATTTAACTGCCGTAAGTTAAAGTTAAATGAGAGGTAGAAATTCAGAATAAAACATAACACTTTTACTTGCCTTTACTTACTATTTTTGACTAAAAGATGAGTGCAGTTGTTGGCTGTACATGTTATTTATTTAGTAAGTAAACAGAAAGTGTCAAATACTCAAGATACAGCAAGCAGGCATTTTAAATGATCGCTTCATAATTGCTCAACTTGACCTTACCCAAGTCATTTATTAGTGAGCAGGAGGAAAGGATAAACAGCACCTGGATTACCTTGTGTGACTGCAACCAACATGAATTGTGATTTCTATTGCAAACGGGGGAAGGAAGAGTGGGGGCTTACAGAGAGAACAAGCTAGCTTGTAAATAGGCAGCTGCTTCACAGTCTCTCAAGAAAAGGAGGTGATGAAGGACAGGGTTTGATTCTAGAAAGCTAGAGTAACCACTGAAAATTATAGTGACCAAGTTAGGCGCCTCAAACACCATAGGAAACCAGCAAAGTAACACTAAGCCTAGACACTAAACATCACATAAGGTGCTTTTTCCAGTAAGCATAGATAGAAGTACTGCCTGATTTCCTTTGCCAGTATAGTGTAGAGGGCAACATGCTGTAAAGAAACGTGATGAAAGTGCTAATCCACAGATTATACTCAGCAGCTTCAAATACCCAAACAAAATCATGTAAAGCCACTAAAATAAGAAGTTTGGACAATAAGCACTTACACAGGATCTTTGTACCTAATGTTTTCTCTGTTGTTTTAAAGAAAAAATTATAAATAGGAAATAATTGATTGTTAAGGGGAGAAGAAAAAAAGCTTGGGAAAAAATACAATCCAAGAAAGTAGTAGCTGTAGAGTAGTAAAGAATAAATAATCTTGGCTAAGAATCATACAAGGGTCTTAAATTTGGACTATGATGGTAGAAGAAAAATATTATCACTACCCTCACAAATGTAAAGCTGACAGATACATACAGTTGATTGGCAAACAGGAAGAGAGAGTTTTTACTGCATTCAGCAGATCTCGTCTTGCACTGAAAACTTGTATTTTCAAGTTCAGAAATAGAACAGCAGAAGAGAGATACTCTACTGGAAATCAACATACAATTCTGGGCTGTAAGGCAGGATGTGAAGGCAGACAGAGGATGCAGCTCCAGGGACTAGGAACACCAAGAATGCAGAAGATCTTTGTGGTTGTTCATGAATTCTGCAGTACTCTGAAAGTCACTGTGATAAAAATGAGATAGGCCTGTAATGAGCTTGGCTCAGCCAGTATACCAGTATTGAGGGGTACAGTTTCCTAGGAACAGACACCTCTCTGTGCAGTAGCATGTCATATTTCAATCTGTTAAAGAGAGCCACTGCCTGCTTTCTTATGTGAACATGTCTGAATTTAGATTCTCTAGCCTGTATCTACAAATGGATAGAAGAAGTAGTGCTGGAGTTAAACTGCTGGGGAGGCAGGGTGAAGATTGAAGCACTCCCTACTCTGAAGCCACATGTCCTTATTGCTAGCTACTTCTAGCAAGCCTGCAAGTCAGGCTGTATCCGTATCATGTGGAAGCAATTTAATTCACAGTACCTAAAGTCCCTTCTGCTGTTTTGGCAGGCAACTTGGGAATCTCTCAAAAAATTACTTTGAAAAGGAAAAAAAAAAAATTGGTGTTGGTCTCACAACAGCAATGCAATAGAGGGGCAGACAGCGAAAACTGACCCAGGAGCACTGTTTCTGGCTGATGCAGATCGCAATTAAGAACAAGTGTGGACCAGCCCCAAGAGGACAGCCCATGTTTCAAGCCTTTACCTCCCCAGTAAGCTTGCGTTGATCAAGCTTGCACCTTCAGCACATGAACACGAAGTACAGATGGCAAATTAATTTGGACCCTAGCATCTGTCTATATACTGTAGACAGGCTCTGTGTTGCAACCGGTTTCACATTAATAGGTACAATGTTAATGATCACTTTTTTAAAAAAACCCTACCTTTAATATATTTTTCAGGAAATAATAATCTGCAACAACTACTCCCCCAACACCCTCACCCATCAGCATCAAGAAGGGAACTGTATTCCTTCCACTGTGGATATGTGTTCACAGACTATGAACTCTGAAAGAACACGCTGCCACAAGCAGCCATCTGCCTCATTGGGAATTACTTTAATCAAACAGGAATGGAACATATTTATTTATTTACCAGAGGAGAGTATAGCCACTGAAGCAAAAAGTAAATGCTCTCGAATATTCCCTGCATATGCTCCTCTCACAACACTCCACCTCTTCATTTTTTTACCTCATTATATTTTTAAATCTGTAGGGCAAAACAAAGAACAAAAACTTGGTTAAAAGTTCAAATTAGCTGGGGAAGAAAAAAAGACAACTCATATGTGAACAAGAAAACAAGCTCCCCCATCTCTATGGCAACCTTTCCTAGAAGTTTATCAATTTGTCTTCTTGATTTTCAACACTGTATCTGAAAGAAAAATGACTAAATTCTTTCATTTTTAGCTTCTTAAAATGAAACCGCATGTCATCACTTTGTAAGCTCTAGGAATTAGCTATTTTCTCACAGCGCACTTCAACAATTTATCATACACTTACTAGCAAAGAGTTCTGAAACATGGAACGTCACCAGGAAAATCAGAACTGTTTATCAAACTCACAAACATCTTTTGATATAGCTTCATCCACAGGGATTTAAAATACACCAGATAATACGCCAAAACATACACAGTAAGGAGCACACGTATCCTGGAAAAAAAAAAAATCTAAGTGGCACTTACCGTATTTAACATAAAATGTCTCCTTTCTAAATACTTGAAATATAAAATCATAAATTTAGCATAACCTCTAAACTTACAAAAGTTGAAATCCTCTTTGCTGTCTCTGTAATTGCCTGCTCCAATGGTTTCCAAAGGTGGAAAGCATAACGACCTGAAAAAGATTGAAGTTAAATGAAAATATAACCAACATTCACTAAGAGGGAAAAAAAAAAAGTCTCCAACTTATGTTCATCAGCTTACAGCAGAAAGAATTTTGGTTTAAAAAAAAAAAAAACAAAATCCTTCATTGTTAATCTTTTTGTCTCATTTATTTGCTGTACAGCACTGTTGTACTTTACTGCTTTTCACGATGTCCCTCAACAGCCGTTTTTGGATCCTGCCCAGCTGAAGTCCCACAGTAAACTTGCTATGGTTTACATTTTTCAATCTTTGTACTATTGGGGGAGGGAGGGGAAGAAGTTCAGTATACTTCATCTAAAAACCTAGTCATGGACTGCAAAGATCCATTACGTTTGCTCACAAAATAAATAGATTTAAATGCATTTCAATATGATAAATGAAGATATCTGCCTTGTGAACTTTAAGAAAAAGGGCAGTACGAAACATTAGCTTTGGATATACATTATTTATTAAATACTCTTCAAAGGTGATGTCTTCAAAAACAGAAATCTATGTACTACATGTTTCTTGCTGTGATGTTTTATGCTTAATCACACATTTTGTAAGTACTGCATTTTTTATTTTGTTACAAAGAGAGGATCTTCTGGGATTCAGAGCCATTCAACTCCCCACCGGCAGTGAACTTCTATAGCTAGGAAAGGCTAGAGGGAATTCTATTAGACTGCATTCTCAGAAGTACAAACCAGGTCTATCAGCTTCAGAATCAAGATTTGTGCCATGTTACTGGAGGATTTTCCCTGTAAGTCCCCTCTCCCCAGTTATTGTTTTGATTAACTATTCATTAGCAATGTAACTTGCTATTATACACAATGGAAAAACTGTTTATAAAATGTGGCTCTGCTTCATCCAAATAGCATCTTGCTTTCATTCTTAATATACGCAATGTGTCCATAGGTTATTTTAGTCATCTAAGCCTGTGCCTATGTTAACACACAAGTTAAAACCACTGTTAAGAGTATCACTGCTGAAATGCTGTGATGTACAGCATTGAGGTAATATATTACCTCACCTTCTTCTTAATGCTTTCTGTTACCATTTCTTTGCTAGCTGCCATTAATTCTCCAGCTCAACCAGCAGAAGAAATTCTAAGAGCATTCCTCTTCTGCTTCTATACAAACACCAACTGCTTAATGGGTGTACATCACCAAAGATCTTGTCTTTCCTTCCCCTAATCAAAGAAACAACACAGCTGCACCCAGCAAACACCTGCTGAAGTTTGGTGCAACTTGTTCATCTGTTGCATCTATTCTTGGTGGATGCATCTGCACATAGCTGACCATGGTTGCTTTTATATGCTGAAAATAATGGAAATCGATTTGTGTATTTCAAAACCAGAACAGACCACAGTTATCTAGTCTGAGTAACCCAGAGTATAAATCACGTTAAGCCAATGCCCTGTGTTCAGACTAGAACCTATTTTTCAGAAGAACATACAGTCCAGATGCAAAGAATTCAGGTAACAAGCAATGTACTATGGGAACAGTTTAGTATGATAAATCACTGTAGCCACTAAAACCTATTTTTCTCTATTTGAATTTGTCGAGCATCACCTTCACATCACAAGATCCTGTTGCACTCTTCTGTACTAAAGAGTGTCCACTTGCAATATGTTATTAAATAAACAAAGTAAACTTTTCACATTACATTTTGCAGCAGAAAGCAGATGGAACCTTTTAGCTGCTGTCCATAAAATTAGTTTCTCCAGCTGTGACTTTTCAAGAAGAATTTTGGAACTATGTCAAGGATTTTGAAGGGAGAGGAACTACAATGGGACGCAATTCCCCATAGCACTCTCAAGCGCCCTTTCCACTTTCCACTGTTTATATTCATAAAAACTTCATTAACCCTTTGGAAACAGCAGCTCACAAGTGACAGTTCCACACTCAGCTGGTAATTTAGCTTACCTGCAAATGCAACAGTTGCAACACCAAGTCCAACTGCTATCACAGTTCTGGCCTAAAGCAGAAAAACAGGAATCAGAATAACATGCAAATTCTAATTTGAAATATATGCACCTTTTACTTTAACAGCAAGTACTTCTGATGTCAGACGTGGACATTTCACGTATAATTTACAAGACAGATAGAAATTCGTTCTGTATTCCACAGGCTACGTTAGATTTTATAGTCCAGTCCCATTAACCCATGCCAATGCATCAGGTTTAACTTGGAACTACCCATTAGCAAATCAGTGAACAAACACCAACAAAGCAGCTCACAGTATGTAATGATAAAAACACAAGGCAGATAACTATTCAGGATTACTTGAAATTATCTGTGCAGACTAGTTCAACACAGGACATAACAGAAAGTATCAGTTTATTACAAAAGCGTGAAGAGCTAAAAGAAAAAATATTGCTTTGCAAAGTCCTTCACTGGGAATCTCATCATGACATTGCTTGAAAACGGTATTGGAATATCAACTTAAACACTACGGCCACAAATGTACATTAGTGTCTTCCATCTTTCATGCTTTGACTCACGGAAGCCCCAATAAAGACATGAAGCCCAGTAACCTCTTTTCATTACTCAGTGTCAATCACTGGCTGGACTCTATCTTATAGTACAAACATTTGTAAATAGGCAGACTTCTGACGGATTTCAGTGTTCATTATCAGGTAAAATTCGCTTTAAGTCTAACTGGACTCTCGGAACCAAACCCACAAAAGAGACTTGAACATCTGATTTAGACAACAGTAACTCCTACTTTTTACTAACTCAAACCCCCCAGATTAGGTGTATGTATTTTCCTACGCAGTGCTTGAAGAAAGTCAGGCATCTCAAGAAGGACAATAAGAAGTATCTCCATGTTGAACAAGAAGCTGCTGAAAGATATCTAGTAAACCTTGAAGAAGGGGACTGACTTCTCACACATCTGCAGAATTCAAGAAGAGTAATGAACACTGCAAGTGTTAGGGGCATCTCTCCACTTCTGAAAAGCCTACATGTATTTCATTTGTTTCATAGATTAAAGTCATCTGTGGCACTACCTGTCTTACATGATAGTTCAATAATACCTTGAACTTTCCCCCAGGGAAACATGAGAAATCAGATTAGGTCTGTTTAGCTTGAATTCAAAACAGAACAACAGTGAAAATGCTTTTATCACCAGACTGTCTCTTCTATATATGACTTACTTCTGCATCTACCCAATAACCGGTTTATACATTTTCTACCAACAAGCCTGACAGCAGGACTTAAAGCCCAAATTTCAATGTGAGTGCCCTAATAACTGGATCTGGAGCCAAGCTGCCTCTGCTACTAAGATTCCTGGGGCTAAAGTTCTCCGTCTTTGTACGCAATCTCGTTTCTAGGCAGAGAGGGAACAGGGGAAGAGTTGGGAAATACCGGTTTTAAAGCCTTCTAGAGCTGGCTTAGTAGGAGCTAGAACACAGGTTGACAACTTTCCCAGCAAACGGGCAGCTGTACAAGATGTAGGCACTGCCATAACCCTCAGTGGCTCCTACGGCTTCGGCTCTGAAGGCAAGTGGCTGTGATTGCTGCCTATAGTATTAAGCTCAGTACAGAAAAAGTGGTAGCCCACTCTGAGCTCATCTACAGGAAGCTGTATTCCTCTATATCTAGCTTCTGGATCCTATGCATTTTAACTAAGTATCTACCTCCCACCTACCCGGATGGGACTATTCTAGCTATTTAGATAACATAATACTCCAATTGCCTGGAGGTTTCTAGTAGAAAGAAAAGAGACTCACTAAACATACTGAAAGTGAACCTCCAAAGTTAAGACTGGGGGAATTCTGGCCTTAAAATGGGCTAGACAGGGAGATTTTTAGTAACCTAACTCTTCCACTTCAGTGTAGCCTTCAGTCTCGATATTAGCATTCATTTCTGAATGTAAAAATAATGTAGTAGTTTTATGTCTGTTGTTCCTTTCAGTTCCACAAAATTTCCCCTCATCTTTGGACCATGAAAAAATGTAAGTACATTACCTTAAATGGTAGAAGATATAAAATAGCAAAGCATACAGTTCCATCTCCTCACTAAACTAAAACTCTCTTCATTTCTTCTCACAAATCAGTTTTCCCAGGCTCTCAATATTCAAACCTTCTAAAAAATTCCTCCAATTCATCTGTTTAGACACTAACCAGAAACAGCCACATTTCTGAAAATATCATAAGCCCATAGAAATTCTATATTATTCTATTCTGTGGTTTGTGACCATGGATTTATATTCAGGAGATTTTCCTTGGCTTGTGCAGTGACAGTGAGAATCTTTTACTAAGTGGTTACAGTCAATTAAGAGCTCAACAATGTGTGAAATAGATCACACTGGCAAAAAAAAAAATATATTTATTAGCTTGTGCTTGTCCAAATTAAGTTATACTTACTTGCCACCAGAAAGGTGGTTTAAGACAGTAGTTTACAACAAGGTGTGCAGGTTGCAACAAGGCATTAGCAGCAGACACCTCATCACAGATAAGGCCAAGCACAGAGACCAGGCTAATAAATAATACTTGGACTCTTGTCAGTTCAGTGCAGAAATAGCCTAAGTGTTTTTACACAGTAGTCTGGGAACACAATGTAGAGACCCCTGAGGGCCTTTGATAGAGTCAGCCATGTCCACTGGGATGTATTATCTCAGTCTCAGTGGAAAGCAACAGTAGACAGTGGAAAGCATATTTACTGACTTTCAAAGCAGGTAAAAAAGCAGCACGGCAGCAGCTCTATAATAGGAGTAGTACACAGGATCAACAGGAATATGAAGACAAGCCCGAAAACTAGCTAAAAGTGATGGAATGCTCAAGCCAGAGAGGCATGAAAGATTGTCCACGTTTTGAAGTGAGATACGACCACCAGAAAAGCTGAGAAATATTGGTTTATGGTAACTCACCTTATTTGCATTATGAGCAGGTTAGAGAAGAGTCACTTGCCACATAGTAGCAAAGAAGTGATAACTTGTGATAACACATACCAAAGCACCTTGAATGTTTGTTATCGTGTGAATATATCCTAACTATACGTATGCGATAAAAACTGAATTTGAATCAATACAAGAAAGATTGCATGGTTTGTCTTTTACTGACACAGCCTCTCTCACAAAAGTGGCAACTTCAAGTACTAACCACTCAGTCTTTTAAGTCCAGCCTGACTCAGTTTCCTTTTTCATTCTCACTTAACTCAGTTGATTATTTAGAAGAATAAGTCAAGGTTAGTCTGGTGCTTTGAAATGTAGAGTATAAAGTGCAAAGCTTTAATTAAATGCACTCCTTTCATGTCAATATTAAATGTAAGCAACTCACTATCATTGTGGAGTGGATCAGTTCATTTACGGCATGCTAATACAACTACCACCATGACCATTTTTGGCTCCCACTGCTTGAAAATGCATTTTATTTCAGACTCATAAAGGCTAAAAAAAAAAAAAATATTTACTGACTTTCAATTATGACAGAATTGACCTTCCACCCCCTCCAAAAAATGCCGTTCAGAAATTTCTAAGATGTACGTTTTAAATGAAAGCATTCTGTTAAGATCCAAGAGGGAAAAATAAAGAAATGAAAGATTAAAAAGTAACATCTGTCCCTTTCTTTATTCAGTGAATCAGCTCCCAAAGGTTAGTCATCAACTCTATGCTATTCTGCTGATCTCAGTATTTTAATTTTACTATGTAGTTCAGTTTTCAGTAACAAACCCTTTTAGATACAGAAAACAATAAAACAAAAGTTTTGCTAAATCTACAAAAACTGATTTTTTTTTAAGAATTCTTTTCAGAAACGTGTATAAGAAAACACACACATTAGAAAGGCAACTGCAAGACCTGACTTACCAAAGTGTTTGGCAAACAAAAGAGGATAAAGCATATTAATTAACATACAGTATGTTTAGAGGTATACATCATATACTGTTAGCAAACAGAGATCTGTGGCCTCATACTTTAACACATAATTTTCCAGTAGCCTTAATTTTTTAGCAGAAGAAACAGGGAAGAATGATATAGTCTTTCTGCAAGTTTCTAATCCACAGTCTTTGCTAACTTAGCCATGCTAAAAAAAAAAAAAAAAAACCCAACTTCTGTAATTCCTAGCATTGCAGCTTCTCCTTCTATGAAGTTGAAAAAGTTAAATTAATAAATATCAAAAGAATTTCAACTGCATAATTTTAAAATTTCAGCGCAACACTATTATATCTGACCACAGGCTACAAGAACCACCTTTATGAATGTTAGAACATACCTGCTTGCGTAGGATTTGTATTTTATACACTGGTTCTTCTAACACAATTAGTGAAAACACCCTTCTTGGTCAAATGGAAAATATTTTGCTCTTCTCACAACTAGCTTTCAGACACACAGCAAGAGCTCTATTGTCTTTTGCCTCAGAAAGTTACAGTGTAATGGAATAAAAAGCACAGAGAAAATAATTATTTGTTCTGATGGGTTGGATAGCATTTCATTATTAGTCCATGCTTAATCATGAATCAGTAAAATAGGGAGTATATACTTACACTGAAATAAGTACACAAGTGTAAATTGCTTGCTTAACTAAAAACTTTGTTTTAGGAAGGTTTGGTTTGTTGTTTTTTTAAGTGCTGTATGCCCCTAAGAAGTAGGATACACAAGTATATTAACCAAATGTACAAAAATATTTCTGAAACTACTTTTTCCCTTAAATAAAAATTCTTGACCTGAAATAAATGATTGTTTGGTATGGAAGCTAGAATAAGGCTTCTGTTCCTCAGAAGAGTAGGTACTACAGCTTATTGGAAGACTGTTTCAGAGTAAACCACCTAATTAACTCAGTATGGAGCCAGATACATTTTGAAGTGGGATTATATTATAAACTATCTGCAACATATTTGATTTCACAACCTAATGTTTTCCTTCCAGTCTTACCTTCCTATGAAATTTATTTTCCAATAGTGAAGTAAAAGTAATTTCAGCTAGATGCTGTTCTCCATACTCACCCAATTCTCATGTCAATTTGTGTCATTTTATATACAAACTTTTTTGGTTTGTATATAAAATTATGCCTAAAGTTTCTCACAGTTTTTCACAGGAAATGGTACCTGAGCAACAGATTCACTAATAGAAGCGTTACCATAAGGCACTCAAATCGATCTTCTTGAGTATGTATTAATTAACAAAGGCTTCTTGCGGGTATCTTTGAGAACAGACTCTTTATGCTTCTACTGTTGTTCTTCTGTCGCTCCAAACTCCAAATACTTTTGTAGAACAGCTACAAGAGTAAAAGTGACCAAGATCAAGTGACTACAGCTAACATCCAGGACATCCCACATCAAGATTCGAGGTAGGATATTGAACAGAGCTCTTTCAGCCCTGAGAGATGGATGCTGCTGTTAGACTTCACTTCTCCTACTACTCTTTCCTTCCACTGCGGCAAGAAGTTCTCGTTAACCCTGTACGAGGTCAGAGGAACAGATGCACAGCACTACAGTTGATCTTGCTATTTCTCTCTTGCAATTCTGAATTCCTTCGCCAGGAATCCAATAAACATGGGTACTGTCCCTTTTTCCACTAACTATCTACATAATACCATCTAGGGAAACTCTGAAATAGCTTCTACTGCCAACCATATGCTAACAGTTTACAATGTCTGTATGCCTAAAAAATACTGTATTCTCCACTGAAAGGCCTGGCTAAATAATAGATTTTGACAGAAAATTGCAGCAATCCAGAATCTAGTCCTCTAAAAACCTACCACAGTCTCTGGACCTTAGTAAGAGCCTAACAAAACAACTCACACCAACAAAGCAAGCCTTACTAACCCCAGATGCAATTTTTATCCCGGGCAGGTAAGAAGACCCAAAGACTCCACAAAATCCACGAGGAATTTCCCTGCTAACATTCCACAGGGAGAGTACATGGACATGACAATAATGAGTTTCAGAGCAAACTGCTTAAGATTACACAGCTTGCTGTTAAATACACAGACAGACTCTCCTGGGGGAAAAAAAAAAGAAGTCCTAGACTGTAGTAACAATGAATAAGTAACTTAGAAAACTATGATTTTAAAAATCGTATTTTTTTTAAGAAGAAAAAGAAATGTTGTAGAGGCAACAGCATGCACACAACGAAGTATGGCAAATACATATTTAAAGCCATTTTAAAACCGTGAAGTCTTCACCATCCAGTGCTTTAAGCAGTGATCCGTGTATTTTTCCCCAACTTTTTTGCAAAGAGAACTCACTGTCCCATGAACTAGTCGAAGTGACCAGAACGAAGGAGCGGGATAAAGTCACAGCACCCTTCCCACGAGACCACGGTACGGCATAGGAACCTGCAGAGGCATTTTGCCTCCCCTTCGAGGCCCCTCCAGCCTCTCCCCCACGACGAACTGTCAGGTGAGAATTGCTTTTCTGAAACGGAGCTCCACAAAACCATTAACGCTCAAACCTGCGGTAATAAAACTCCCACAGCACGCGAACATTTCACAGGTGTCATCTCTTTACGGCAGGGGAAATGTCATTTTAGGCCTTATCTGCTCATGCCTGTGAACGCTGGA